GAATGCCAGAAGAAAAGTTATTGCCATTCAGGTATCAAGCAAATTAGTTCTACTTTCACATGTCCTAAGATAACTAGGCTACAAAACGTAAATCAGCCAGGGAACCACAAAGCCATCAGATATAGAAAACTATTATACATGTATCTTGGTCCGAGATTCTTTATATCATCCTTCAAAATTCTAGTTAAGAAGTGGGTAGCAGGCAGTGTTCTTAGAAAATTTTCCAAATTCAGTATGAGAAGCAATTTTCCGCCTTTTAGAGTAATAAAGTAAGAAGTCTTTAGAAAGGATTTTATTCACCTTTGTTGAAAGCACAGTTAAACTCTTGCAGTAAACTTCACTGCCTAAAGTTTTGATGTTTTCCCAGCCCCCCAGCTGAGCACTGAATTTGTAATTCACTCTTCAAATATCTCCCTCAGGCTGCTGTTCTCTCTTGTATACACGTATTCAATGTTTTGCAACATTCTTAGTTTAAGTGTACCAAATTGGTATTTGATTCGGTTTCCCAAGCTTTAAGGTATATGCTCTCTCACCTGTTACCTATTTTCTTTTTACATACAGTGCACACCTTCTCCTCTGTAATAATGCACTTCACTTGCTGATGCAAGATCCGCTCCTCCTGGACCTAAAGAATAATTTTAAAAAAACAATAAACATTAAAAGACTTGCTCAAAAAGCAATGCCACACCACAGCTCCCTTCTTGTCTGGTGAAACTGAAAATCGTCACAACAGTTAGTTTTCAGTGGCTATATCTACACTAGCAAGTTGTACAGCACAAAAGAAGCAGGTCTGTAGAGCAGAGCAGGTGGCATGGGCCCAACACCCACACTATATGAATTGCAGGATTTTACTTTCAACTAGTCTGGTCCACAGACTAAGGCATTCTAACCACAAAGGGGTGTTAGCTCACATAGGTAAGCCATTGAACTGCATCATCTGATTTAGCTTAGTTTATTTGAAAGAAATTTAGCCCATGCTCTCCTGGATCATCCCACAATGCAGACCAGAGCACAGTGAGTCCAGACACTCACAGCAAAGACACACACCTCATCCAAACTAAAATGAATGTACTCACCACCTCCTGAAAAAGGGACATTCAAGCTACTTGACACACATCTACTAATTTGTTTGGGCTGAATCAAAAGATGTGCGGCCAGCAGGTTGAGGGAGGTGATTCTGCCCCTCTATTCTGCCCTTGTGAAACCCCACCCGGAATATTGCGTCCAGCTCTGGAGCCAACACAAGACAGACATGTAGCTTTCAAAGAGAGTCCAGAGGAGGACTACTAAGATAGTCAGAGGGTTGGAACACCTTGTCTATGAGGACAGGCTGAGAGAGTTTGGCTTGTTCAGCCTGGAAAAAAGAAGGCTCTGGGGAGACCTTATAGTGGCCTTCCAGTACCTGAAGGGGCCCTACAAGAAAGCTGGGGAGGGACTTTTTACAAGCACATGTAGTAATAGGACAAGGGGTAACGGTTGGAAGCTGGGAAAGGGCAGTTTTAGATTAGATATAAGAAAGAAGTTCTTCAACCTGAGGGCGGTGAGACACTGGAACAGGTGCCTAAGGAAGCTGTTGATGCTCCATCCCTGGAAGTATTCAGGTTGGATGGAGCCTTGAGCAACCTGGTCTAGTGGGAGGTGTCCCTGCCACGGCAGGGGGGTTGGACTAGATTATCTTTGAGATCCCTTCCAACAAAAACCATTCTATGATTCTAATTTCAGGTGCACTACAGCACCATCTAGAGGACAGACACTCCGTAAAAGGAACAGTTAATTTAAATATTGAACATCTTGTTTTAAAACACCACTCCAATAAATGACAGGCAGTGGGTACTTACCCTCAGAAACTCTGCATGGAGAAGATTCTTGAGTACTTGATTAAATCTCTTCTTCTGAGCATTTTCTTCAAGGACTTTCTCTAAGAAGATTCGAATCTCACTAATCTGTGTATTTGCTGGGAGTAGGTTTATTGCCTGGAGCAAAATATACTTAGTTAGGAAAAACTGAGAAGGAATAGAGAATAAAATAGAATAGACATTGACACGTTTAGCTTGACACTTACAATCTGTCGGCTTGCCTACTCCAATACCTTCTGACACCTCCTGCCAACAGTACAGAGTACTTACAAGCCTTTCTTACCTTGGTGGTATCCAGTTTGCTGTGATGTAGCTCCAAAACCTGCAGAGCAGCCTGCAGATTGGCTTGAGGCTCCAGCACTTCCATCTTGATTGGTCCCAGGCAATGAACACTAGGTGGGGAGAGGTACATCCGGAGCAGTGACAGATAGACCTGTTGCACACAAAAGGAAAGTTCTGAAACCACTGCACACATCCACAATTCACAGTACCAGCAGAACCCAGTGATGGTATCAGCAAGTTGTACCTGTGCCATTCAAAATTCTGAAGTGCTCATTTAAACAGCTCTCTTCTCAAAACAACAAAAACTGAAAAGTACCAATGATGTTCAAGGCCTTTTAAGACTTGCATTCTACACTAAAGTTTTTCTATGAAAGTAGTTTTAATCACACCTCCTTCATTTATCTTACATAACTCACTTATAACCTTTAGAAACCAACACTTCATTGCTTTTTATCATTAACACTTCTCTGGATGTATGTGGAGTACTCACAGTATTTTGTCTTCTGAATTCCATCAGAACTTTAGCTACAGAATACACACTCAACTCCAGTGATACAGTAACACTCTCCACAAAAACAAATTAAAAAAAATAAAAATACAAACAATAACCTAGCAAATCCTACATTCCAAGAGCTTATACATAGGTTCCTGCCCACCTACAAAAACCCTGAAAAAGCCTATACAAAGCAAAAACTTTAAAGTCTCTATCATGGTATGAATAGTCTAATATATCCTCACTGAAAAGGAAGTCTGCAAAGATAAAGCTACTTACGTCTTTGTTGCCATCTTTGTTTCTGTCATAATGTTTATGGCAGTAGCTAGAACAGAGAAGAATCAAGTGAAATGCAGGGACAGCTTTGGAACCCAGGGAATCAGACCACAGAAATTACAATTTAAATGCTTTGAATACTGAAGCCATCCAAGTTAGGTAACTGTACATCTGATTCTGATCAATTAATCAAATTGCACACCAAAATTACACCGTTTACTCTGCATTACAATTCTGAGAAAAGGGAGGTTTTGTGCGAGTCTCCCACTTCCAATCAACTTAAAAAGCTTTAGTGCAGAAACTAAATATAATTCAGCTGTGTAAAAAATGGGAAAAAGATATCTCAAATCAACACATCATAGCATAAAAATATGTGTGTAGATATTACTGTAACTACTAATTACTGTATCTGAATCCCAAAGAGCAGGTGTTCATTAGCGTATACTGCATACTGGGGTTGAATGTCCTCTAACAGGCATTTGCTGAAACTAGCTTTAAAAGAAGCTATGTTGAATAGGCCGCAATGTTCAGATATATCTGCCAGGATCAGTTACTTCTATTTTCACCTAAGTACTTCAGATTCAATCAGAAGGTTCCCTGACAAGATACGCCTAGCAAAATGTCATACCTTTACTAGAGAGGATTCTGCTAACTGAAGGAGCTTAACTTTGCAAATGGGCTAGTAAATGCCTCTCCAAAGAGAAAGGAAGCAAAACAACATACAGAAGTTCACAAGCTAAGGACAGGTGGAAACAAAGAACTCATCAATGACAGTCAAATTGCTCTAAAGCGCAATGACAGAAGAGCATGAAAAGGCAAACCTCAAGGGGACAGCACCATCATCTGTAATGAACAGATACCTGGAAGAGCCTAAATGTCAAGAAAACATGGAAACCCAGAAGATGCTGAAGGTTTACAGCATTCATGCTTCACATACAGCAACATTTCGCTACACATCCTATTCACAGGACAGTGATCAAACATCTTGCAAAAAAAAAAACCAACAAAAAACGAAGAACAAACCCTTACTTTTCAGCCATATTGGTGTCCTTCAAAATATGAACATAAATAAACAGAGCTTGCTCATGCTTCCCCATACGACCCAACAGCAGAGCACGTTCTTCTAGAAGACCTAGTGACAGCATGAAGGATTAGTCAATAGCTAGATAGAGAAACTACAACATAAGCTCCATTAGTGACCAGACTAACTATAAACTGTAGTCTGTGCACACGTTAAAGTTACACTGAGACCACAGGTTTCCTTCACACTAGTCTTAGTAACATTCTATTAATTCTTAAGAAACAAACTTCAGATCTGTTGAGCAACTCAGGCCCATCGGGCTAAACATTTAAGTGATGGGAGATGTCACAAGGTCTCAGGCCAACAGTTACAGGAATTCTGCAGAGAGTGGTAAACCCAACTGTGCCAGCAAAAAGAGTTAGTATACACTCATATACACACCAGTGGCCTGCAACTACATATATAGCCATCTTCTTCATTTCTAGTAACCATGATTCTACAATACGTGAAGAGGGTTTCTTGTACAGTGCAATAAGCTAGGGTTTAATTAACCTATGGAAACTGAACTCACCATCAAAGGGGAAGTCACTAATTAGTCGACTAGGTTCATACCAGCTAGACTTCTCCAGAAAAAGTAGAAGCTTCTTCCGGTAATCCCCCAAGTCTCCTCCTTCCTCCCCAGCAGGCACCGGATTTTTATCTATACGGAAGAAAACAACATAAGCCACGGTATTACAACTATTTCATTACACTAGTACACAGAAGAAGATAAACAAACAAATCATTATGAGGAGGAACTAAATGCTGATTAAACTGTTACATGGGCTGGGATTTTGGTGCATCTGCCAAACTACTTGACCTCCTTAAAACACATCAAGTGGCTGGTTAAACAACAGACTCAGTTATTCAAGACCCTTCCCTACCCTTAGCATGCAGAATTCAAGGAGTAGCTGCCATTCCGCTTAATCATGAACAAAGTGTCACTTGGTCCCTTAAGATCTCTAGGGAGGCAATAAACTAGAGTTCCCTACAAACCCACGACTTCTGTTTTTCCAGTTCCTTCATCACTCGGGATATCTTCTTCTGGATGTCAACAGGGAAGGCTTATAGCAATACACTGTAAAGGCTCTCCTGTGCTGTCCTATGCCCCTGGTCTTCCCACCAGAAAAGGCTAAACATACCTGCAGGGAAAGAACTGAGATATTCTTTCATTAAGCCCTGCACTTTCTCACAGTACAGCTGGATCAGACAGTTGTGAAAGTCTGCACCCGTTTCCTCCCAGACATGAACGATGTGTTCCTGTAAATATATGTTCAGGTTCAGTTACAGACACCTCCTCTCGAAAATACTTTGTTACAAGCAAGCAACAGTTCCACGCTGGTCATTACCAAGCTTGACTTCAGGATTTCATACATTTTAATTATTTTTTCTTTGCACAACTTATGCAAAGCTAGCGTTCCCTGAGACAGCATCAGGCTCCAACACCTGCAGAACTAAAGCCTTACATAGAATCATTAGGTTGGAAAAGACCTCTAAGATCATCAAGTCCAAACATCAACCCAACACCACTGTGTCCACTAAACCATGTCCCAAAGTGCCACATCTACATGCTTTTTGAATGCCTCCAGGGATGGTGACTCCACCATTTCCCTCGGCAGCCTGTTCCAATGCTTGACCACTCTTTCAATAAAGAAATTCTTCCTAATGTCTAATCTAAACCTCCTCTGGCGTTACATGTAACATGTTGTACCCAATGTAATGCACTAGTAGAGACTGAGTTCTTACCAGGTAAGGAATAGTCAAGCTTTTAAAATTTTCTATCAAGAAACTGAGCACTTTGTCTCGTGGCAAAGCTTCCACTTCAGGGAGGTCTTCTGTAAATATCTGTTAAATAAAATTTTATTCACAGAATGGTGATTTTTTTTTTTTTTTTTTTTTTTTTTGTGCCACAATGTGCTTCCTCTGAGACACTGAAGCCCAGCATATCACCACATATGTTGAAAGAGTAAGCACAAGAAGCTTTAAAAATTCTGAGCAGCTTATTCAGGCACCCAGAAGCTATCTCGCATCTGAAAGGATTAACAAACATCCCCACTTCTGCCTTAGTTAACACTCTTCTTTTACAGTGCCCAACACCTCCCAAATATAGGGAGTCAATTCTTTACCAAAGAGGGAAAAGAAAATAGCAAATTACATTTATAAAAACACAAGGCATTTGAGATTTAAATACTCAAACAGGCTCTTGTGCAAAAAGCGTGACATCAACAACATTAAATGTTGTATCAAAGGCTCCTAACTACTTATTACAAGATAAGGTATTCCAAGAATGGAAAAGCATAAGAAAAACTGAAAGGCTGCCTTGCTCTATCTACTTCTAATCTTACCACAGTACTGAATATAGAAAATACAAATTATACATTTAATTTGATTTAGCATTAATACATGGCTTCTTCCATTGAGTTCTCCCAATTCCATACATTGCACTAAGAATCACAACAGCAAGGTGCCTGTTTCAACCACACTTACCTTCAGTCCATCTTCAGGAAAATCCCTTAGCACCCAGACAGAGTAGGAAAATACCAAATGCAAGTTCTCTGTGCCTGGAACACAAAAAGCAGCACCGCTCAATGTTAAAGTCCTAAAGATCTATCTACTCACAACACAAGCAGACACTTTCAGAGCCCACAAATCTTCATTTGCAGGAAGAATCTGGTTTGTTTTTTTCGCCTGCTCAAGTCAAGCAAATCACATAGTTCAGGCTAAAGCAGAATTTCATTACTTTGCAAACATGATTTTCCAACAGAAATAACAATTAACCCAAATACTAACCGCCACCAAATGTAAATAAATCAGACCAAAACCAAGCTCAGTTGTCTTAATCACATTCCAGAAGCGTGCCCTTACAATTTGTTTTCATTACGGTAGAAAAGGCACTGTACTTTTCACTTGTGTAACTTCCCTCAGTGGGAAGTGTCCCTGCCCATGGCAGGGGGGTTGGAACAAGATGATCTTTAAGGTCCCTTCCAACCCAAACCATTCTATGATTCTGTGATTTCCAGCCTGCCAGTCTAACGACTTCTATAGCAAATCGTCAAATACTTCATAACAAGTAGTAACTGGCACAGAAACTACATGACAGGTAATGACACATCTTCAGCTTTTAAGAAAATTTAGGTCCTGCCTCTAAAATAATACTTTGATTTGAACAATTTGGTTCACAAAGTTTAGAAAATATGACTTTCCCCTCACACTCCTGATCAGAACCACCAGGCATTCACTGCCCAAAGAATGCAGTAACACAACTACACAAGAAGCGGAAGCCTACACCAACTCTATAAAAAGGCAGCCACTGTTTGCTTTTCTTCACCCCACAATATCATCAGGAGTAAGTTACTTTAAATATTTAAAACAAGCAGCATCTTCATAGTAGCAGTATTTTAAAAAACAGAAGATGAGCTCTGTGAAATAAAACAATTAAAATAGCCCCCAGAAGAGCCAACTTCAACGTTTCAGAAACAAAATAGTGACTTGGGAAATGGCACTAAGGTTGCAGGCCTGAATTTCACTGAATGTCAATGGACTTTCTGAATTAACAGGGCATGGGTTTACTAGCCTCACTGAGAAAATTTAAATAAAGGCCAGGCCAGGCCATGGGAGCAAGTTCTCGTGTAGAACAAGAGAGAGAGAAGAGAAAGTCTAAGTCCTTATAAACAAGTGTGAGTAATTAGAATAGCTCCTTTCCAAAGCCCTGATCACACTGCCTTTGCTGAAATCACAACCAAATCAAACATGAAGTTACAACCGACTCAAAACACTCAAGATGGCAGAAGGAGAAGGAGGAACTCATCAAGTAACCACCAGAGTTTAGAGACCAGAATACTAAAAAGCCACCATCGCATCACCCCACACCACAAAACTGGCTCCCTCATCACGTGAGTCAGCCGCACAGGGACTGTTTTACACTGAAGGTCACAGGCAAGGATGTTTTGTGCTTCTAGAATTAAAGCAGAGACTGAATTTCTAAACTTTCTCAGCAACAAATCTCTAATTTAAATATGAGCTATAATAGGAAGAAGTTCTGCATAACACTATTTTAAGAGATTAAGAATGGTGTAATACAGAAAACTATCTACCATGCAATCAAATACATAATTCTCCTGTGCCTACCTCTGTGAAGATAAAGTATATTTTTGATGGACATGGCCAATCACAGAATTAATTCATATTTGCTTTGATGTAATAAACAGCAAGTGCTTACTCTGTTGACACATGGCAAGTATGAAAGCCAAATCAGTAATATATACTTCATGACTTAAGAGACCACAGCTACAAGCCTGAAGGAAATTTTGTAATTACCTGAGAACTATTTATGAGCATTTAATGAGATGTTCTAAAACCTATAGATATGAGATGACTAAAGAAGAGTTTCTACTTCACTCAGAATGTAAGTGAAAGCAACTAAAAGTACACTCTGTGTAATTAAAGTTAAAAAAAATGATTTTACAAATTAATTTATTACTTAGATTAGAAGCTAATAACAATAGAAGCTGCATCAAAGCTGGGAGCAGAGGGGAAAACTTGTAGAAACCTCATAGCCTGAAGTGTTTTTATCTTATTTGAGGGACTCCCAGAAATGACACTTATCAATTCATCAAGGCAGAATGGGCAGCACAGTTAAAAAAAAAAAAACACAAACACACACACATACACACAGTGTTACTTTTCTGCTTTGCACTTGGGGGCAAAATCTGCAAGTGACACTAGCATAAAACACTCCATTTATTAGGAACAGTTTACTTTCTAGGTTGTTTCCACTGGTGAACAGACCCAATTAACCTTTATCAGTTTTAAAGAACTGATCAAAAAGCATACAGGAAAAATTATTTTCAGGAGGTCCTGAAACAGAGAAGCTCCAGAAGACTAAAAGAATTTAGCAAGCTGTCAAGGTTTCAGAAAATTATTCCAGACAACTTGGATAATTATAGGTCTTAAATATCCTCAATCTCAGGTAAAACAAATGAGCAGCTCACATAAATTCATCTTGATTGACCTATCAGGATGACAGAATTACTTTTTAAATATGAAGTTTGTTTTGTAAAGCTGTATGCTGAATATAACATACCTATACTTCTCTGATTAGTGACATTACCAATTGACAACAATGAATAAGAAGTGTAAGAGAAAGACATGGCACAAACAGGAAGGGTCTCAATGTCATTTAAGTAATGTATTACTGAATAAACATGTTGCTAACAAAAGCCAGCAGTTCTTAAAGGAAGTAATTATAGGAAAAAAAAAACAAACAACCACAAACCAAACTCTGCAAACAGTATAAGACTAGGAGATGAACAAAGGTATTTCCCAAACTAGTAGCGTGATACTTTTAAAGAGTTGTGCATTTTGAAATAAGTAATATCATTGGATGTGAGGGGACTATTCTCAAAAGTAGCAAAAACAAAAAAGGACTTGGGAGCTCACAATGAAGTCAATCAAGCAAGTTCCTGCCATGATGCTGTTACCAGCAACTACAACTGTCAGGTCATTATCTAGATCTACCTAAAACCAGAAAATAAAAACTTCATATAGGATTCCTCAACTCAGGAAAAGATACTACAAGCCCCAGCAACTGGAAGTTAGACTTTCTTTTTGTCAGTGATGGTAAATCATCATCGAAAAAAAAATTCAAAATACCATGGCACATTTTCTACCAACGGATTTTTTTATCAGAAATGTTTTCCAACAACATACTTCAACAAGACACTCGTGAACTAATCCTTTAAGTTTGCATTAGGCAAGAAACCAGACAAGATGACAAGGATACCCTTAGCTTGATAGTCTTTAGAAAGTTGTTAAACAGTAGAGTAACTACTAAGCCAAACAAAAGCAACAGCTTCACAAAAACAATGCTCTCCTTCACACTCACCCAAATGCTGCAGATATTGCACTGTCCTCTCATGACCCTTCAAAGGTGAGTTGGCTTTCTTTGACTGATCCACCAATACCTGTAATGCTTTCAGAATAACAAAAAGGTTCATTCCTTTGTAACCACAAGTATCATTCCAACTTTCACAACAAAAAAGTTCATTTTTCCTCTTCTGCTACCAGAGACAAAACAAAGTTTTGTTTTAAACACACAGACTAAACGGGTAACAGGCACAAAGATCCATTTAATCACAAGACAGACCCAGAAACAAAGTCTCCTCAGAATATCACCTGCTCACTGAAGACAAGTTAAACCTCAATACTAGGGATACATGCTCCTATCCTTTCTCCTCTGCCCACCCCAACCTCATACTTACCTTTCTCATGCAGACCTTTCTTCTCATACAGTATTATCAGCTCACTATATTTGTGTGCCTTCTTTAGTACATGCTCACTCTCCTCAATATGGCAGTGATTGTTCTCCAGACGTAGCAATGGTGCCACAAGTGCTACATTTGTCTGCAAGTAAGAACAGAGCACTTAAACATACTTCTAACATGCACGTCCTAAGCTTATAGTACAAAACATGAGCTGGAAGAGAGGAAAAAAAAAAAAAAAAGAAAAGAAGCCTTATAGCATAAGAAAGTTTAACATCTCAGAGCAAGGCCTGTATTCATTCTGTATTCATTTCCATAGTTTGTTGGGACATAAAGAAAACAATGTATGAGAGGTATTTCCCTTCAAGAATAGAGATCAGCTTTGAAAAACACTGTTGACAGCAAAGATGGTCCTCTCCTGCACTTAACAGTACAAGGCACATGAGAAGTATTCATTAGAACTCCAAAATACATGAGCATGGCCACGTTACTTTGACAGAGGCAGTGACCAGAAACAGACACATCTGTCAAACTACTTCCTGACCAGTGAGCAAATTAGCTAACACCAAAGTGTCTCAGGTTGTTTTTAGACCAAAGAAAAATGGGGTTGTGTGAGAATTTCTGAAGTAGCTCCTAATCCTTCTTCTTAAACAGCCTAAAATTCCACCAGAGCTTGCAGGGCAAAGGAAAGGCCTCTAGGTCAGGCAGAAACTCACATGGAGGTAACACTTTAACAGAGTGGTATCAATAATTTGTAGCAGCTTCTTTTTGGATTTGATCGTGGGTGTTCCTTCCATGAGGGGTGAGGTACTGGACTGATGGTCAGAATCATTTAGCTTCTTCACCAGCTGACTTCTTTTCTGCAGGACATCAAATGAAATTTCAACAAGAAAAGGCCACATATTTCTCCATCCCACCGCAGCAAATACAACCCACCAGTAAAAAGACTAAATTAAACCAATTTAATAACTCGTTTTAATAAATTTTTTCCTAAAGAATTTTTATCGTTACTAACTATTCAACACATCACCTTTCCAACCCCATTCAGGTGTATACACTTGTTTTGCAAATTTATAGTTTTGTAAGATTTCCAGAGTCTTGATAAAATAGTTAGAGGGAAACTCTGTTAACCTGAACAGAGACGTTTTAGAGATGTCAGGATACATTTAAAACATCTTATGTTTTGAACTACTAGGCACAAAACTACCCTGCTTCAGACACAAGCTTCCTTTTAGTCTAGTAAGAAAGGCAACAGAACAATTCAGATTCCAGTTACAACAAAATTAATAGGACAGGAAGTTACAGTACCCACTACCTCCTGTTCCACCTTTTAATGCATGCCTTTGACCTGCCTTCTGGATGGAGTGCCCTCCACAACAGTCACCAAAACCAAAAGATCAGGAGCTCAAGTCCTCTGCAGAAGGCTACTAGAAATAAAATCCTGGACTAATATTCAGATTTAGTCCATAAGTAAATTTTGTCCGTCCTCACAAAAGTCACATGCAATGTCTCCCACATATCTCTGTGGCACCTCATGTCTTCCAGTTCCCCTGCTTTCTCAGGAACCGTTGCCATAGTTTCCAATCATGAAGACAGCCCATTAAGGCTAGCATGACAGAGCTGGAGTAGGCATACTGCCTCCTGCACATCAAACAACCAAAGTATGCTAAAACTGAATAACACTGCTCTAAAAACAGATATAGAAGCACTCACTTGAGTTAGGTAGTCTATCAGAGCTAAATGTGCCTTCTCCAGCTCCGCCCCAGAGAGCCCTGGTAGGGGGTTGGGATACTGTAGCTGTTTCCTGTAATCTGTGGGCAGGAGGTCAGGATACAGACCCATCACATGAGTGGGATCTAAGCAAAAAATAACTAGTATTAGTAACCATTCATAACATTATTTTTGCGAACTCTTAAATGCATGTAACCTTTGAGCAAGCTTAGCTTTCCAACAGAGCTGTTTGTAGCTAACTTACATGTCCACGAGGTTTCAGACAATAAAATTTGCTTATTACAAAAAAGAAACTAAAACAATGCAATTGAAGCAACAGAAAGACTGCTTCAAGTTCCAAGCACAAGCTCCAACCTGTGCACTTGGCACACGTAAAGAATAAGCCATTATTATAATCCTTTTACTGTCCCTCTTGCAGAATCTCAGCATTAACAACTCCAACAGTAGGACAGGATTTCTAGGAACAAGCAATGTTTTAAGAGAAGATTTACTGTGCTTTTGAAACAAGAACTGAATAGCACCTTCTGTAACTAATGAGCACCCGTTTTCCTGGGGTTTAAGCAAATTCAAAATTACTGCCCTCTAAGTTCAAAGTATTTTAGTTCTCTGTCCTCTTCTTTCATTGTACTTTTCCAAAGTAAATATTATGTTGTCATCAAAACAAGTAAAAGTTCTAGGTTTAAATGCACAAGGCATGTGCTATCACCAATAAAAAAATCTCAGTCTTAAGCACTATTCTATAGTACAGTCCAGTCTTCACATGTTCTTCCAATAATCCTAGTACAAATCAGAGGAATAGCAACAGAGACTGTTTTGACTTTCAAAAGCACAGAACAGTTTCCTGGCTTCAGCACCTTGGTCCACTAATCACGAAACAGAGTTAAGAGTCCTCAGTTTGGTCCAAGTCCAAGGAATTAGCAAATCTACAGATGTTTCATATTTTCATTCCAAGCTACAAGTAGGCCTTCGGCAGCTGCTGAAACCCTCAGCCTCGAGGGTCTGCGTACATGCTCTGCATGCTGTAAAATTGCCTACAATACAAATATATTCTGCACAAAGGGCAAATTCATGATTTAATTCACTTATTGAAGCTATTTAAGTACTATAACCAGTTCCACCAAAAAAAGCTAAATAGCTGCCTAGGCTACTTGCCATTCGCAGGGCACTGGTCTGCAGAAGGCAGCCGTGTTTTAAAACAAAAACAAAACAAAGAAGCCCCACGCAATACCCTGTGAGCTCCATTTCATTCCTCCTAACCTAGGTATCCCAATGCGAACCCAAGCATTTACCTGTACCAAGCTTGGCAAAAACTTGCATGGATTCATCAAAGCGCTTCTGGCAGAAGAGGTTGAAGGCAAAGAGGTTCTTTATGTGATGAATTTGTTGTCGCTTCTCACTATCTGAATCATCTTTCATTTCCTACACAGACACAAATTAACAAAGATGAAAAACACTTGGGCCTCATAAATGAGGGGAAAATAGAAATAAGAGGAGTATCATCCTCCGGAGAGAGTAAGAAGAAGAAAAGATAATCTTCCAAAGTGAACACCTCTGATGGTGATTCTCAGTTGCTGTACTTATTGTGTCACTGAGATAACCTGGAAGGTTTGAAAGCTACTGTTGTAGTAGTAGGTTATCTATACACTCACTCTATCACAGCAACTACCTCTTCTCTCCTTTGGCTTTTCAAAATTTTTTTTCAAGTTAGCAATACAAAATGCAGTTAATTCATTTTAATGTAGTTCCTAGGAAGTTTCTGGAAAACAGAAAATCCTAAATCAGTAAGAGCAATATAATCATACTGCTTCAGCATCTCTAAGAAATTACCATGTTTCAGGAGTAAAATGGAGGGCCATCACAAAAAAATGGTCATTTGATAAAAAACAAAACACACAACTCCAAGCAATACTGTTTACAAGCAGTCTGAAGACTCTGAAGTCCAACTGACTTCAAAGTCTAAAAGAAGGTAAACGATTAAACACGCAAGAGATAATCTTTCACATACAAGATGATACCTCAAAATCTAAACCACAATAGATCAGTACAGAGAAATGGCAGCACAAAACTAAAACTTATGGCAAAAAAGGCTAGAGTTTACCAGTTTGTGCGAAGTGGACAGTAGGGAGGTTAAACTCTCCAGACAAGATACAGTCAAGCAGAAGGCAAGCATCCTTTCGTGTACTTCTGCACAACTGCATCCACTGCAAACCGAAAGGTTTTTGTGTACTTACGGCCAACTGCAAAGCCAACTCAAATTGCTTGTCCTGCAGAAGCTGCTGGATCTGTGTGGCTATGGACACCGGAATGAGTCGCCAAACAAAGTGATTACTTGCCACATATATAATATTTGTGCTGTAAACAAGACAAAAAAGTCAGTTACTAAGTTCCAGCAATGAGAAAGACGCAATACCCTACCTGAAAAATAAACACCATCGGTTAATGCACGCATGGATCAATTAGACACATGGGCAACTTGAGCAATACTGCAAAGCAGAAAGGAGAAGAATGTATCTCCAGTGATCAGAAACTCCCGAAGACACTCAAGTCTATAATTTAATCCTCAAGGTATGGCCTCCACCCATCTGTTCATAAAAAACAATGGACTGCTTCAGCGCTACTTCTTAAGCAGAGGGAGTTAGAAAAGCTCTTCCTCCCCCAGTTTTTCAGAGTGCTACCATACACCCAGACAGCCCAACAAAAGCAATCAGTTATACTGAATACCCTCCAGAGGTGATGAAGCGTGGTCTCTGCAGCTCAATACTCTGTACCAGCAGTCGGGGTTCAAAGGTGCGGATCTCCACATACCTTGGCAGAACAGCGATTATGTAGGGAGGCTGGTGTTCTATTAGTGAAACAAGTGAAAAACATAAGTTGTTTGTTCTCAAGTATTCCTTGAAGCAAGCCATGACTTAAAGTAAGGCTTCTATTCAGGTTTTTTCCCCCCCTCCCCTTGACGTTTCCCTTTTTTGCTTATTAAAAACAAAACTCAATGCCCGACACTGACGGCAATTTGCCAATAGATTACTACCAGGCTTTTTGTTTCTCTTTCAACATAAGGAATTTCTGTGGCACTCAGGTATCCAGAAGAACTACAGTGCTTTAACACACTACCTTCCATTTCAAATCTTGTCCCTTTATAAAGGATATGCAATATGCCTATCTTCTGAGGAAGAGACTGGCATACAGACTACAAGCAAAGAAGTGGAAGAAATAAAAATAAGCACATAAAAACCTTCCAAACAGTACAACTTGAAATACTTTAGAAACTGTCACACTCCAAATCCAGCTAGTTTCTAAGTATCAGGAATGTAATGGTTTTGTCATATACAAAGTGAGTAAAGAACCAAATTTTAAAAAATTACTGCTAATTCTCACCCATGGCTATAGGAATATCTGTCCAATTCAAGGCACATTTCTGAGTACAGATTCCTTCTTCATTGAGTACAACTGTCAGATCATCTTGGCCAACAGCAACTTTTCCATCTGCTACAGGAGCTACCAACGGTTCCAGCTGCTTCCCTGTGGGAAACAGTTCTTTGATAGATCCTTTTCCATCCACCTAGGATAATAAATAAAATAAAAACCCCTGTTTTTCAAAACAACCTTTATTTCAAAGCTACATAAGAGCAAAGCCAAAACCCCCCTAGAGGGATTTACAACCCAGATTAATCACTAACAGGACAAATGCATTTTTAAAGAGTAGCAATAAGATTTTCTGCATACCACATTTATGTTGCTTATACATCATTTGGAAATAAAGAATGAATACTTCCGTGTCTGAGATGATGTATTTCCGTTACTACAACAGTAGCTGAGCACATAGTTCCTATAGGTTTATGAAATGCATAGCACAGTAGCAACAACAGTTGAAGTGTCCAAACACTTCTTGGTATAACCAGAGGATTTCATTTAGACCACATAAAAAACAAACTAAAAGCCTAGCAACCTGCCTAGCCTTTTTCCTCCTTGCCCTAGCCACTCATTCCTGTAGACACATGCTGTCCAGGGAACTGAACCCACCCAAAAAAAAAAAAAAAAAAAAATCCAAAGAGCTGTTTCATGAGCTGATCTCACGGCCACCAAAACAGAGACTCCTTCTTCTTCAACTCCAGCTACATGCTCCCACTGCTTCCCTTGCATTACAGCTCAAGCATTCTCATACATCATCAGCTAAGCCAGCAGAAAACAATACCATAAAAAATATGTTTATTCTCATTGCCTATTTAGGGACTAATCCATTCAAGCATGAGTTAGTCAAGTACTAGGGCCAACCCAAAGTAGATGCTTGGACAGCAAGTCTCCACTCCGGTTGCTTAAGCAGCTGCACAACTACTCATATCACTGGAATGGTGGGAATCAACATCTAGGAGAGGGTTGGAGAAAGGCATCGCTTCTTTTGTGAGCAGCATCAGTCTGAAGTGACTGTAAAAATTACTGTGCCGTTTTCCTGACGACTACAGATCAGTGTTGCCACCCATGTACGTACATATTGTGTGGTGCACCTCATCTTCATCCCATTTTCCTATAATATCAGCACAAGCCAAACGTAAAGGCAGAAAAAGAGAACTGAATATAGCTGTCAAATGAAGCATAAGTGGACTGTAACAGTAAATTAATGACAGTAAGTTTAAAGATTTCCAAACTGAAATTACTACAGTTGAGCAAGAAAAATCAAAAAAAGAAAAAACAGTTAAGCTCTACTGTCTGCCAGATTAGAACTTTTTAGAGCTACCTCCTTTCTTAATACATTAAATAAAATGCAAATTGAGCTTATACAGACTGCTGCCAAACCAAAATATATCTTTTCCGATGCCTTTTTTCTGCAAGAGCTTCAAACACTGGTTTCAACAGCAATAAACAGAAGATTACTTCCTGACAAAACATCAGTTTAAAAGGACAGACTTAGACTGCTCTTTCCAAAATCATACACAGCAAGAGCACCAAACACTGGTTTTCATAAATGTCTGAAACAAATTACCTAAATCCCTGAGCACAGGAGCAGCCTCCATAGTGTCTACTGCTATCCAAATCTTCTTAAACACTGTATTCCAAACCCCAGTCTTACCCGTATCAAGTAATAGTCCCTCTTGAAGCCTACACAGATAGAATTTTCACACCAGGCCATAGACTTGGGTACGTCAGGTACACTGAAGTCCCCCTGAGGAAAACAGGGAAAACAGGTTAAAATGACTGTTAAAAGAGAAAAGCAAAAGTCAAATCTGGCAATACAGAGTGTAACAGGCAGCACTCCTGTTGACACCATATTCCCCACCACACATGCACGACTTCTGCTGGTCAAGGAATGGCAGTAATCAACTAAAAGGCTAGAATTGTACACAGTGAAGAGTGTACTCTGACTTAGCTGGTAACTTCCTAGAAGAGCAGCGTAGCTGAAAAATTCTCTACCAATTTCCACTGGTTATTTTTATCATTCTGGTATGCACAAGTGTAGTTCTCCATGCTTGTTGCGAGTAACTACCTTCTGAATTAATGACATACCTGGATAACTTTGAGTAGAAGTAGACCCACTTCCACAGTGTTATTGCTAGGTATACATTTATAGAGGCTGCACTACATTTCACTGACTTACAAGTGTACTACAACCAGAATGTTAAAATATAGAACACTGCTTTGATTTCATTTATGAAACTGTATTAATGCCATTAATAGTTATTTCAACCATGTATTTTCACTTTTATTTGCTGCTTCATTGTTAAATCACTGCAGAACCAACTGGAATCAATGCTCTGAAAGTCAGCAATAGGGACTGCACAGCAAGCAGTAAAGAGCAACTACACTCTCTTTTGAGGCATGCTAGACTACAGAAACAACACAACTCACCTGTAGTTCATGGAACTCTCTGTCCTTCCAAAAATAAAGCTGTAGCTTCTTCCGCACTGCCACGCACATTCTCAGCACCTCTTCCCCTGTATCTGACTGCTGTGGAAATAGACAGGCCTAACTCATAGGCGCTCATCAACTAAGAGGCAAGTAAGATAATACAAGGGCAAAAGAACCCTCAGCCTGAAGCAAAGCTGTCAGCTGAAGAGCAGCTTTGTTCATCCATGCCAGAAGGGCATTCCCTAAACAAGGGAGGGCAGAGAGAAGAGGGGTGGGATACTTAAAAATGAACTTTGGCAGGGATTTTGTGACACCAAAGAACATCAAAAAGAGCACCAAAGACGTACACACACACAAACAGAAGATAAGTAGAGAGCTATCAGCCCAGCCCTGAAGACAGGAATAAACAGCTTGAACTCCATGCAGTATAAGAGGGATGGAAATGGAACAAAGCAAAGAATGTGTTACACTAACAGATAAAAACATTAATAGCTGTTGAATACTCTAGCCTATTGGAAAAGTTTCCTGACAAGAAATACTAGCAAAGCTAAGTGCCTGTATGTGCAAACAACAAATCACTTCTGAATGAGCAGATTTAAAGGTGCTTTGAAAGACAACACTAGTTTTAACACATAGAAAATCCTACGTACTTATTAGAAAATATTTAACACTAAGCTCCCATGGGGCAAAGGGATAAAAAGTGATGAAGAGCACTAAGCCATCTCTTCAGGCTATGAATAAGGTTTCTGAATGACACGGGTAGGCTGAGAAACTCACTTGGATAGAAATGAGTCACTGAAACCACAGCATATGAACAGAGAATTACTGTATCTTATGGAACCATTTTATGGCCTGAATCTACCACAACTTCCCTGGGATTCTTTGGGCCAATACAGTTTAAGAGAAAAAAATGTAACAGAAACAGGGATTGGAGATGCTTGGCGAAGAGTACCACTCTGAGCTAGTACACCGGCAATTTAAGGGAAAGTAATGGCTTTTATACTGAAGAGGACCTTTCAGAAAAGACAACAGTCAAAGTTACTACAGGATAAAAATGCCTTGAAGTTTTGTACCAGGAGGTTAGAGGCTACAATCACAACAGGCACAGGAAGATATCTGATGAAGCACAGGAAGAAAATTAAGGTGACTACATTAAAAACTGTTGCCTTAAGCAACGCTCCAACACCCAGCAGGTACTAATTTTAAAAAGCACTAGTACCCAAGCAACTTGCATGTAACACAAAATTAACAAACCTAATCTATACGGTAACATAAAAAAAGTTATCCTTATAACAAACAGTAAGGACATCTGTGCCATTGTGTTCCTCTTCTTACCTGAAGATCACAAGTGAAGAGAGATGCACCTTTTGCCTTCGAAACCGTGGTGATTTGTTGAAATGTCAACAGGTCATGGACATAAATGTTACTTTCTGTTTTAAAAAAATTTCCACTTATTATTCAATATTTAATACATGTAGAGCTCACTGCTAATTCAAGTAAGTTATCATGTCTTATGTTTACATAGAAAGAAGAACCTGTGAAACTAAGAGCTGCAAGAAAGGAAAAGGAATGTCTTCCCAAAAGCAGAAAAGCGCTAAGGCACATACAAATACAAGACAATAAATGCAGAAAAAAAGACAACTAACACCAGCATTGGTAAAATCACATGAAGGAACTGAGAACATGTGCTAACCAAGCAGAGGAAGTGGAAGGGACAGCAAGCAGGCCAGAGCAGAGCAAGTTCATGATGGAAGATTGTATGAACAAAGACCATTTTGAACTGGCTCCTGAAATTAGTGGAAAGCACACAGTTGCAAGTGGAGGGTACTGTGGTCAAGTTTTTGTACGCAC